ACGACTTGCTATCTACTGTTTCTTCACTTTCACCTTACTTGATGACTTGAAGATGATTTTTAAGCCTGTCGTAATTATGTGCCCTCAGAAAACAACACGATCACTTTTCCCTGGGTGTTACTGAGTTGTCGCAAACAACTTCTTGTCCAGTTAGGCTTTCCCAGGCACCATATTCTGGCGTCCATTGCCCAAGTCTCCTCTAAAAACAAACAAGCCTAATCAACTCAGACATCAACAAACCCAACTGAAAATTGAAAATACTAGCATCAACGGAGCAAATAAACAGTTGAAAATTACACTTCTAGGGACCATTGGGACACAGATTACGTCCCTGGAAAGCGTTCCTAACTCCCCATGTCCGACCAGTTTCTGGGTCTCAGTGCAGAGAAGCAGTAAAACTTGTTTCCATACTTGTGGCAAAGTCAACTATTTGGTTTACCGAAATACTCATAAGAAAGACACTTTCCAAATTTCATAGGATGGCTTGCCGGTCACTTCACAGAAATCACTGGAAAGCATGATACCACACGTTACTTTTTGTTACCATCTTTGGCATTGCTTGACTCAGGGCCAGATGATCTGATTCCTCTGAGACAGTATACTACGTATCCGGTCGATGAATACTCGTCGGCAATCCACTCACCCTGTTTGAGTCTTACCAGATGGGACGCACTTACATCGCTGGATCCCGCTTTTGATAGCCAGCAGACGGACAGAAAGTTTTCCTATATATGCGTGCAGCTAAGGACAACTCACCACTCATGTTACAAACCAAAAAATTCAAGGAAATCTAAATGGAAATCAAACAAAAGATCAGTTCAGGGAGTAGGACTCGAACCCAGGACCTCCTCTGTACCAGATACTCTCCTATCTGGACTACTGAATACACGTCGAAGTACGAATCCTGTTCTCGATCGACTGATGACGTATTCATAAACAGGCTGCATTCATTGATGTCTTTTCAATGCCCCTAAATTCATCGTATGGACCGATAGAAGAAATATTATGAAGTTTTTCGCGTACATACACTCATTTACAAACTAATTTGGTTTTTCGAGAGGCTCACCTGGAAAGCAGCTGATTCTCTCGTTTGTGATGTTCCCAGGCAACTGAATGGGCTGAAACATGAGGCGGCCTGGTGCAGCACATTCAGTTGCCTGAGAACATCACAAACGAGAGAATCAGCTGCTTTCCAGGTGAGCCTCTCGAAAAACCAAATTAGTTTGTAAATGAGTGTATATTCGCTAATTTCGTGCAATTTGGTTTCAAGTAGAACATAAGGTTGACGGAAACCCGGGGACTGCGCCTACCTGATGAGCCCCAAGAAGGGCGAAACCGGTCGTGGGTTGTCGACGGATTTTCAACAACCTTATGAGCAGTGCGTTACAAAGATTATGAAGTCGTGTTTTAGATTATCAAGTCATGTTTTTGGTCATCATCATCATCATCGACAATATGACATCAGTGTTCGCTGGCGTTTTTGGTCACAGGCTGCACGTGGATACCAGTGCCTGTGTTTAAAATGTTTTATGGTGCATAAAACCTTTTCTGTTGTGGTCAGAAAGCACAAAATTCCTCTAAATACCTCAGGATCAACAACTACAGTCAGTTCTGACCGCAATACATTAGCAATTATTTAAAAAAACATCAGGTTCTGCTATTCTGGACATAGAAATTAAAATTCTTTTTGGAGATATTGCAATTAAATGTGCCCAACTTCGGGGACTTGTTAGCGATCCTTGTTGAAAACACTCAACAGACGAAGTTTTTCTCCAGTGTGTGGAGCTATCGAATCATCATTCATTATCTCAAGATGTTCATTTTGGTGACTCTTTTTGAGTAGGCAATTGTGAGGGAGCTCTAGCGAGGCTGAGGCAAGAGTTTACCTGCCTAATCTCGTGTGTCACTTTCAAGTACAGCACACGGGCCAAACATGCGATTGACTGCAGTCATTCTCAAACGCCAACGGTGAGTAAGGGGTTGCTCTGTTCAAGTGTCAACTTTTTTAGGCACTGCTATGATGTAAACAAAACCTGGTAAGTGAACGTGGACAACATTCGCACCACGGTTCGAAGGAGTTTCTGAGGTCCCCCCTCATTGGCATGGTTTTTAATAAACCTGAAAATGCGACCGTACGGTTTTCGATCTGTGACATTAGACCGCGATCCCAGTTGACTTCCAACTTGGATAGTGTTAGATGTGGAGGAAATATTACGCTTTCGAAAGAAAACATAAACAAACATTGCTGCTGGACAAAGCCATTGTGCTGGGAAGTACAGGAGATTGAAAATACTATTTGTTATCCTTCGTTTCCTGTTTTTTTTCGATGTCATGATCAAGTGAAAGCTACTTTTTGACAAGTGTGCCATTGTAGGTGCTCAGGCAACCGTTTCCAACAGTTACGATGTATGCTAAAAGTGTATCCTGGCCGTAAAAACAAGTACCACCGCGACATATCCACACGTAGTCGCTGTCTGCATGGTTCATTATGCGTGGATGTCTTGCTCAGAGTCACTGGTCTGCCTACACTCACGGTGTGGTGATGCTATAGAAACCTGGCTAATGTCTGGATGCAGAAACTTACAGTAACAAAGTTAGGTTCAGTTTCACACCACTCTCTCCTGTCCTGGCGCAATTATTCATGTAAATCCACACCAAAGGGGGAGGGGGAAGCACTGGGCTCGAGTTTCGCCCTTGTTAGAGCTCACCAGCAGTGCAAATCCAATGGCCGTGCCGGGGGTTGAACTCCGGACACCTGAAATGCGAGGCGAACGTGTTACCACCATTCCACCAGCGCACATTGTCGAGCATTCACATCACTCGAGTGCGAACACGTTCGCCCGTTCAGATCTGAGAATTCGGATGCATCCAACGTGCGCTGATGGGATAGTGTTAACACGTTCGCCTCGCATGTCAGGTGTCCGGAGTTCAAACCCCGGCACGGCCATTGGATATGCACCGCTGATTCGCTCTAACAAGAGCGAAACTCGAGTCCAGTGCTTCCCCCCCCCTTAGGTGTGGATTTACATGAATAATTGCGCCAGGACAGGAGGACGACTGCTCAAAACGAGATTAATTTGAAACTGAACAATACACCCCCACATTCATGAAAGGTAGGTCCGTTGGATCCGCTGCATTGGAAGTAGGCGGTCCGGACTTTCTGTAAGCATTATGTGAAGGAAAACAAGAACTGGTAACTTCCGGCCCCTCAACCAGTAGGTTGAGGGGCTTACATAATAACCAGAAGGTCCCTGGATCGATACCGACCCCGCATTACGACTGTCCCTGCATAGACTTCGGAAACTTAGCAGTATCTCCTTCGTCGTCGTCTCTTCAATTGGCATAACAATAAGGCTCCGAAAGGGTGTCACAGATGAACTACCATCTTTATTTCACTGTAATTTTAGTCCGCCCAATCTGCTCATTTGTTAATCCATTTGGTTTCAACGAGGAATTCATCTAAATCCCTTGTTTACGATATTCTTCAACAGAGAGTGTCGAAAATGGCCGCCTTATATTTTAGTTCGCACGATATTCGTGGGCTGTCGAAGAGTTTTCAGCAACCTTACGAGTAGTGCATCCCGTCAGAAAGAAATTGGTAAACTTTTGTCGGAAGACTCCATGTGTGGGGCCGTTCAAGTCTGATCTGTCACAGTTTATTTGTTGTATTTTATTACAGCGGAAAATGCTCTGTTGAACGATGTGTAGAAAGCGATATTTCTCACGTCGTGTCCTACTACTAACTTACCTCAGTCAGTAGTATCAGTGGGGTTGTCCACAACTTGCACATTATTCCCTGGGATGAGTATTACCAAGGAAACCAAATTAACGGCGTCAGTGACAGCGCAGCACTTTTAGGATGATAAATCTGTCATCTCATCAAGGCACCGTATATATCGATAAGGCCGTGTAGCTATAAACTGTTCGGATAACGATCACTCTTTTATCGTGCATGTGCGGCAATCACCAGTTTGTAGTTGCGTCGGAATGACATTAGCATTAAAAAACCCAGTGAATCCTCTATCTTTAATATTTCAGAGGGCAATCAGTTAGAAGAGTAGTTATCGTCTCAGAGAGGTTTAGTAAACAATCAGTGGACTTATTGCTGGACAACGCTTTGCTTTTGACACAAAATCTTCGCCGGACAAATCTTCGTCAAACCAAGTTACCAGGCTGATTGGATTTTAAAACAATAGTCAGAGAACCGATCAATGAGATTTCTCACAACTGGCCGGCTTGATCAGCTCTGCTGATCAGTTCGATGTTCCCGTTTGTTGTTGGTATGGAATGACTAACACTAGCGATTGACTGGTTAAAGGGAGGTTAGTCTTCAAGTCGATTGTGGAGTCTGGAGCCTTGTTTTCCGGTCTTGGACGCCTTGGTGGAACATCCCTCCTGGGTATCGTTCACGGAATTTACTGCTCTGTGTTCGTTAGGTTGTGCCTGGGGGGACATTAAGTAGATCTTGTTATGGTTGGGTTTTGTACTTTTAGGCCCAAATCATCACACTGATAACCGCACACCGCCTCGTGTCGCCTCGGCTGATCTAAAATCGCTCACTGCAAGCTTCCCAGTTCTACACGCATTCCATTGAATCTGGAATGCTTGAAGATTTCCACCGCCTCGGACACCAGTCTCTATGGCGTGAGTCTTAGTCCTCGTCTCCGAATTTTCAGTTTTCCAAATCGATTCTGTGCCTAGCATCTGCCCTGCCATTGTAGAGGCTTTGACTACCTTCTGATATTCATCTACGTTTCTCGGTGGCCTGTTCATGCATCGATTATGCTCATCGATTTTGGTGTGCAACTTCTTGGCTGTTCGACTCATGTAAACCTTCGTGTGGTCGCCACATTTTTTGTATTCATAGCCCGGAAGACGATTCTTCAACTGCACCTTCTAGTATGCTAATGTTAGCCGTGTTCTAATGACTTCATGTGTCCCTGTTTTGTCTGCTGTTTCGACCCACTCCTTGTTGGATCTTGGTGCTGAGGCCGCTGCCGGTCTAAAAGTACAAAACACAAGCATAGTAAGATCTAACTGATCACCCTCAACCCTAAACAATTGTCCTGGCTCCTCTTAAAGCACAAAGACCAAAAAACTCTGTGAACGGCACCCGAGAGGAATGCTCCATTGAATTCTAAAGGGGTGCATGTATTAGTGCACTGTTGAGGATAGCCATAATACAAATCGGAAGGTGTATACACTAATAAAAGTTTTTAATATGGTTGACAGTGGTGGGCTACAACACGTATAACAATAAATACAGTGCGAAAATGGGAGCAAGTCAAAAAACAAGGAACTTATCGTCTGTGAGAGTTCTTTGGTGAAAGTTCGGACGGCGGGAACGTGTTTTCTCCGCAATGTTGGTGAGCCTGACGTGACTAATTATGTAGCCGACTAAGACCTTATCAGCATGTTCGGATAAATTAACAAGCAAAGTTGCCAATGCAAAATCACGATAGAAAAAGAATGAGTAATCAAATGAGGACTCACGAATGTGTAGATCCAATAGCCCACTACACCGATCCAAATGCAGTAACCGGCTGTGAAAGGAAATATTCACTCGTCGAAATTTCCCACAGATGGTTCCGCGTGAGTGATATATCCCACGATAGGAAAATTATTCACGGCTAAAAAATGCCACGAGGATTTCTTCTGACGTTCAACAGTTGGCACAAACACAGAGATCTAGTCTTACTGGTTCAGCAGTCAACAAACAGTTCAACGGAGCGTGAATACACTCGTTCAGCAAGAAGTCAGCAGGTCGCACCGGAAAATTGTATATTCGTAACATTAAAACAAACGTCATGATACAATGTGTACGACAGTTACAAAGTGTGATTTAAGTTCAGGAAGAATGGTAAATGTGACAACGGATTACAGACACTACATGTTCCATAGTCGTCCGTGGACTTGTGGAGAGGTTGACTTCCTGCGCGCGCGCGAGTCTGTGTGTGCTGACCGTGTTCGGTTTCCCTATAGGTCGATCCGCTTGCGTGTACGTGGTGTGCCAGCACACGCCCACTAGACGGTACCGACAATCGATGTCCGATGAGTCACCTTAATGTGACGTGGTTTGTGAGTACGAAAAAGGACAAGTCTCGTGATCCAGTGAGCGACTGTGAGCTGAACAGTCAAGTGTGTGGGTGACTGGGTAGCTACACACGCAGAGTCTTCATTACCTGGTCTCCTATTTTGCTGTGCACTTCTATCATTTGCGCATTCGACGCACATTCGCAAAGTTGTAATAAGACTTCGACCTTTTTTTTGTCCTGGTGGGGAAGAGCCTGTGGTCAGCACAGTGGAAAGGTCTGCTATGCTGTACAAGCTCGAGCCTCTTGGTTCACTCAAAATGTCTGTGTGTGCACCTTTTCAGTACGGATCTCTTCGAATGAATCTCATTCAGAAACTGGTACAGCAACGGTCCAGGTGAACCTGCACTCACCAGACAATGTTTCAGTCATCTATATAGTCCAATCAATACCGCTGACCCATGCTAATCAACTTTAGTGCACCCGGCCCTACCGGGTGCACTAGTGTAACGATGATACTACTGATGGGAGTGGCATGCGAGTAGTATGTTCTCTCGTAAATCCGCTTTGCGTCTCTTGAAAAGTGGGATCTATCAGGGAAATTGTTGAGTCTCGTTTGCTTGCACCTGAGCAACAGTCAATGAATATCCAGGAAAGTTCAGGAAGACGCGTTCAAGGAAAAGATAGATATTCTGTTTTTGTAAACAAGATGCATATGAGAGTTTTGCTTCCCTGTCCAATAGTCTGTAACTGTTCAGTTGGTGTTTCTCTGATAAACAACTCCTCAGCGAAGGCATTCTTCCTTTCGATAGTAGTATTCGAGGGTTTTGTCGTTCTAATGGAGATTTCGTCCTGCAGGTTAAGGCCGTCTGTGCAGGAAAGCCAATGGCACAGCAGTTTCGTCCTTGTTAGGAAGCGTCAGCAATCACCAATCTCTAGGAAAGTACAGCCTCCAACCTCCCAATCAATAGTTGGAGGTACTCTGCTCCCGATGGAGTGTTGCTACGTGGAAATGATATAACGCCATTCATCGTTCGGTCACATCTCTATCGATTTATACTGTACTATCAACAATTACACTCAGTTGCCTGAGAACATCATAAACGAGAGATTCAGCTGGGTTCCAGGTGAGTCTCTCGAAAGAACCAAATTAGTTTACAGATGAGTGTATATTCGCTAATTTCGTGCAATTTGGTTTCAAGTAGAACATAAGGTTGACGGAAACCCGGGGACTGCGCCTACCTGATGAGCCCCAAGAAGGGCGAAACCGGTCGTGGGCTGTCGATGGATTTTCAGTAACCTTATGAGTAGTACATTGCAAACCTTTGTTCTCTGCTAGTGACACGCAAGTGTGACATGGCAGAAAGAATGAAGCCGTTAGGTTTCTATTTTCCAACACATTAGTAGTGAATTTCCCGGAGTCATCCACATAGGACCTCTTCAGTGTAGTCCTGCGTTCTTCCATTTTTAGTTTTTTTTTGCTAGGGACGCTTACCTTAGACTGAAAACACGGTCTTTAAAAGGAAAGAATTAGCCTGATCTCGAAGCAGCACATTACTCGTAAGGTTGCTGAAAAATCTTCGATAGCCCACGACCAGTGTCACCTTTTCTGTTCCATCTCATCAGGTGGGCGCAGTTTTTGTTAAACTTGCGTTCTACTCGAACCAGAATTGTACAAAATTTACGTTTCACGGCAGATCCATCTGGACCCTTGCGTTCTACTTGAACCAGAATTGTACAAAATATACGTTTCACGGCAGATCCACCCGGACCCCAGTTTAAACCCCCAGTTTATGATATTCTTCAACTGAATGTGCCATCTAAAGGTCGCCACAGGTTTTGGTTGGTACGATATTCAAGAATTCATACATATTTTCCTGACGTTATACACTACTCATGAGGTTGGTGGAAACTCGTGGACACTAATGAGTGGCGAACACTGTACTGGACTGTCTTTTTGTTTTAGCAACCTTACGAAAAGTAGTTCGGTTTAAGAAACTATAGTGCTTTACTTCGGGCATCGCGTCTTTGTAGGACGTCTTTTTTGTGGGACGTATCCAGTTTAAGAGTGTCGTGAAAGGAAACGATATTGTCCTGGAACAAGTTGGAGCAGAAATTTCTTGCTCAAATCTTTCATGGATTTGCCTCGAATGAGTCGATCGATTCTCGTAGAAGTTGGAGTTTCCCGTTCACACTGAAACAATGAGAGTAATGACTTGTAGCTGAAAATTTAGCGTGTGAGCTGTTCATCCTCATCAGTGGGTACACATCCCCTGAAGTTCCAGGAAGACGTTTTCAATCCGTGACCTCTCAGCACCTAGTTTCAGTGTTCGGTCACGAGCGGTGGTTCCAATCTTAGTGGGATACAAAGCTCTCAGCACACTGGTTCAATCTTCAGAGCAGCTAGTAGTCCTCACCAACGTTTAAATTTCATTGGGAAGAGCAATTTACAGATGTAGATGAGTGGAAACGGACTGCAGAAGCGGAGACTTCCCCATCCCCCAAAAGGGTTCCCAGGAGGTGGAGGCTACTGACCGAGGACATGTTGTGCCCTGATGCGATTTGGTATGAAATTAGCACGCTTGCTTCTGTACTGGTTCACATCAAGAAATTCCGCTTCAACGACCCGGGTCCACGTGTGAGTGTCTTCAGAACGGTTTGTTTTTTCCCATTCAATTTACTTCACACCAAACCTCAAACTGTACGCAGTTTCAAACCAAATTATTATTAACGGAAGACTCAACTGCGGATATCGTACCAAATAAAACATTAAGCTATCTTCGCGGCGTACTTTTAGGTGAAAAAATCATAAGCGAGAGGTGCTTCGGGGAATCATTCAGTCGCTCGTGAAAACAAGTTGATGTGCTAAGGGGTGTAGGTAAAAATTTCATACAGTTTGAGTTCGTGTACAACACAGGGTTGACGGAAACGCAGAGACTGCGCCTATCCGATGGGCCTGAATAGAATGGTAGAAGCCGGTGGCGGGTATCGAAGCGGTTCGAGCAACTCCACGAGTACTGTGTTTCATCTAGACAATTTACTGTAATCTCGCGAATATTGTATCAACAGAGACATGTGGCGGCCTTTTTAAAGTACTCTCAAACGAGACTCCTAGCTAGATTCAGCTGTGTTTTCCTTGGAAAACAAGTTAGTGCTCTGTGGAGTTGAAGATGCCTTTGTTTTTCCTTAAAGTCAGGATATCGAAGAGGCATGAGTAGAAGGATGATCAGGGTCCTTACTCAGCTTAATTGCCCAATCACAAGACAGACACGGTAAGTGTAGGAGTCTTTGTATGGTCTGAATTTTTTTCCCACTTGTTTCACTCTACACCTGAGAGATGAATAGATTCTGTCTGTTCTCCCCAATCGTTTTCAACAGTCAACAACAGTTTCTGTTCTCTATAGGGGAGAATGTCGGTAGCTCAGGTAGCGTAGATGATCGTTGGCTTGTTCGCTGAGCTGGGCAGTTTGGTTGCAAACGTTTCATCACCAATCGAGGTGACATCATCAGTGCGTAGTTGTGCGTAGCGGTGGGTTAGTGGTTGTGCGTTCAGTAGTGTTACGTGTGTGTTGATATACGTGCTGGTAGCCGGGGATGATCTTTGACCGCGATTAGTTCTGTTCTCTCAACCTCCAGATAATCTCAGAGTACGGGGACAAAAACGTGCACCCGTGTATGACAGGGTAGGAGAACCGCATTGAGTAAACTTAAACAACCTTCAGTTCAAAAATCACCGAGTTTGTGTGCTTGGATCAAGGTATCTTGGAGACATCACCTGATGTTTTTAGCCGGTCGTGGGCTGTCGAACAATTTTAAGCAACTTTATGGGTGATATGTCGAATATCGTAGCGAGTGAAACATGGGGCGGCCTATGTGCAGCACATTCAGTTGCTTAGATACATCATAAACAAGAAATTTAGCTGGCTTCCAGGTGAGTCTCTCGCAAAACCAAATTTGCTTGAAAATGAGTCTGTTCGCTTATTTCGTGCAGTTTGTGTAGAACATAAGGTTGATGGAAACTCGAGGACTGCACCCGCCTGATGAGCTCCAAGAAAGGCGAAACCGGTTATGGGCTGTCGAAGAGTTTTCAGCAAACCTGTGAGTAGTTTCCTTTATGAAAATATACTGCGATATCTCGAATATCGTTCCAGCTGAAACATGAGGCGGCCTGTGTGCAGCACATTCAGTTGTACAATATCATAAACGAGAGATTCAGTTGAGTCTCTTGTGAAAAACCAAATTGATTTGTAAATGAGCGTGTTTCTCGAAAACAGTCCAATTAGGGTTCAAGTTTAACATAAGGTTGACGGAAACTCGGGGGAATGCGCCTAACTGATGATCCCGAAGTGGAAGGGCGAAACCGGTCGTGAACTGTCGAAGAATTTTCAGCAACCTTATGAGTTGTGTATTACGTCTACACACTGGTGGTTATTCATGCCCCGGAAGGACCACCTTTGGGAAAGCTTTTCGGATTAACAGACCGTGAGTTTCCCTCTCATCCCGAAGAATAGAACGATACAAAGAAGTCGCTGTGCTTTGTTCTGGCCAAGCCAGGTAGTTTGATTGCGCTCTAACGGTGAATTTGTTTGTAGTTGATGGCGGAATTTATTCCAATTGTATTGAAATCACACTTGCTTAGGTGCATTTGATGCATGTCAATGGCTCAGGACGATTCGGAAATGAACTAGTCAGGTCACTAGCTTTGTCAATATATATTTTCTTTAAAAAAGAGACATGATAATTAGCGGGATGAATGTAACCGGATGCCTTGACAAGAATGTGGTTTGCAGTAGAAATTCGGTTGTCATTTAGTCCCCAAACCCAGATGCATTGTCTGACGTCTGGCGAATATTTGGGAGATCGCTTTGTTGATGGGTGAGCTGATAAGGGCACTTCCGGCGAACGTACGGCTTTGAGTAGACTTTGATCTATGAGTGGTGTTCTTTTCGTTTGCTCATGAGCCAACAAAGCTAAAACTTGGGTTCCCAGAAAGAGCTGATCTAATACCAATTCGGCTAAAATCAATGGCCTCTTCAGAAGATTAATCACGTGATCTCCAGTCGAAGTAGTACTAATCATTTCGTGTTCTCGATATTATTGATCGGGTGATTTGAGCTTGAATGGGAAATGAACATCTATGAGACGTAATAGGCTAAGGACTGCCATGATGTTCAAAGTGCACCCATCACAGTTGTCTGTCGTCTCTCAACTCGGAATTCATATAAACCTGAAAAACGTCAAAATTCACTGAATGTTCCGCTAGACGTTTTAGCGCTGAAATGAAAATAGCACTTGAGAAAGAGATTTTTAAATTCTTTGACAAAAAATCGCAAGACACCTACCATTGCATGTCTGTGTGTGGCAGACTGTTATAACTCGTCTATCCTCGAAAAAGTGTTCCGAAATCTCATGAATGTTCGAGGCACTTTCCAGAGTTGTTCGGAAAACACTGCATCTGAGGACTTACTGAAGAAGTTGAGGAGAATAATAGCAAGTTTGTTATCACATATATCCGAATTTGACCGGTGGCTGAGTCTCTATATTACCCCTGGGTGATAAACATAGGCTCATCAGTGAACCTGCGGCTGAAGCGGACGCACGGTGCAAGGTTTAGGCCACGTTCATCCGTAGATCTATTATGGCGATCTCAGACTCTGTGGATTTCTTACATCTTCCGTGACGAACGAAGTGTTGGGGAGAAACCTGACCCACACCTTCAGGGAAGCGTTGATGTAGCTGTGGAAGACGGTTACTTATACAGCTACAATCTCATCCCAGTATCTATATTACTTTTTTATAGCGGCACCTCATAATAATTCGATAACTTGTTGGCAAACAAATTTGGTTTTGCGAGAGACTCACCTGTATTTCAGCTGAATCTCTCGTTTGTAATGTTTCCAGGCAACTGAATGTGCTGCAGCAGGCCACCTCATTTCTGAGTTGGTACGATTTTCGAGATACCGCGATACATGTATGTTCGTAATGCACTACTCATAAGGTTGCTGAAAACACTTCGGAAGCCTACGGCCGTTTTGCCCTTCTTGGGGCTCATCAGGTAGACACCTAGCTAGACTGCGCCAACCTGATGAGCCCCAAGAAGAGCGTAACCGGTCGTGGGCTGTCGAAGAAAATCCAGCAACCTTATGAGTAAGTTATTCCATCTGTCCGGTCCACATATCTGAAATTAAATAACAGAAATCGGACATCAAAAACCCTGCTTATGCCTCTTGAACAGATGATCAGAATTTACATTAAATTCTGTTGTAGCGTTTTCCTATCGTTCGCTTTCGTAAGCTTGACGTGACTTCATCGAATGGAATAACAGATTGCACGTGAAAATACATTTCCGCTCAGTTAAGCCATGGCTACGGTATCTGCGAGGAAATGGCTCAGTCTGTACACAGCCAGGACTGCCACGAGCATGACTGCTCTGATGTCGTTAGTCTGGTGATGAATGGACAAACCGTGAAGTTAACCCTGCGCATCAGCGTCAAATCACTCCGAGTTATGTTCACTTGAGAATGGCTTCCAATAAACTGGGATGGAGATCATCGGTAGTACTCTGGTTGAGCACAGTGACGCGCATCGATCATATGGTCACCTTGTGACAAATTCCGATCCTGTCCGGTGCGTAACGTAGGATTGAGACTATAAGACGTTTGGTTCATTTTACGATTCTGAATACTGATACTACTCGGGATGGTTCATCCAACCAGATAAAAAGACTAGAAAAACCCAGATACTGATTCAAATTACCAAAGTTATTCAATGAGAGGCAATTGCTGAGTTGTAATAAAAAGCGAGGAAGCACGAGGGCTGCCAGGTTGCCCAAGCCTAGACAGGGGAATTCGAGAGGCAGAGGTCGGATTCGAACCACGGACCTTCCGGTCAGTAAATTCGTGCTCTTACCACTTGGGCCATCTCGCCCCTGCTGAGTTGTAACACTTATGAATCTGTCGTCTGTCCTTTTTCTAGAATTGCCAGATGGCTTTTTACCTTTGGGGAAATTGCCGTTGAAACTGGAATAAAGATATGATGGGAACTTAATTCGCTCGAAATTCCATATATTGCTTCTTAAAATCGTACCAATATATGTCACTGCGTTCAGACCTGAATTCTTTCCCATAATCGAATGCCACCATCTTCTTGTCCTGTCTCTAGGTGGACTACTCTTCTTCTCTGCACAAATTTCAAAGGATCTGATTAGTCGGGGAACTAGCCTGGGGCTACACATGATTCCCGTCGGTGTTTTCAGGTACTATCCGGAAATGAATTATCTCTATTCTTTCTGATTTATTTAATTTTTACACACTGTCTGCCACTAACAATAATGAACCGCCGGTCTTTTTTTGGTTGATCCTCAGAACGTCTCATTAATCGATAATGTGGAAGATTTGACCTTGAAGCCGGAAATATGCAGATAAAAGCGAACCTGTTTCTGACCAAATTGCTTTGGTATCAAAAGGTTTTGCGTATTTACAGTGGGCAGGGATGATTTGAATATATGTATTCTAGGTACACAGGCAGTGGAGATATGCTGAGAACAACCATGGAGTGCCGAAAGTGCAATGTTGTTGCTGTACGATCTTTTAACCTTGCCCAAATACTGGCTTTGATGAAGAAATGATAAGAGGGGCTTTCTCATATTTGAACAAGTCCTTATTAGGAATGTCTCTAAAAAGTTGGGACGATCGTAACCACCAGCTGAAACTGATGCTTGTGAGAGAACATTCAGCTCTATTTCGCCGCATGTTTACTGTCTGCGCTGAAATTATAGCGATGTTTGTTGGAACAATTTCAATTTTGAAATGCACTGGAATTCGGGTTGGCTGTGAACCGCACGAAGGCCTGTCCCTATTAGTCATAATTTGAACCAATTAGGTTCGAGCATTTGTGGTTCAGCCCCTCAGGTCCAATCACTAATTAATAACTTAATGATTAATTAATCAATTGATAATTATTAATTAATTAATAAATAGCAGTCTTTGATTTAAACACACATTTGCATATCAGTTTGGTTTGGACGGGGGAATTGCCGGAAATTCAGCCAAATCTCCCGTTCATCACGTTCTCAAGCAACTAAAGGTACTATATAAGACTGTCTCATCGTTCAGTTGGTATGATATTGTAGATATCGCGGCATATTGTATAGACGTAACACACTACTCATAAGGTTGCTGAAAACCCTCCGATAGCCCACAACCAGTTTTGCCTTTGTAATCTGAATCTCTCGTTTGTGATGTTTCTAGGCCTTACGAATGTACATGTATCGCGATATCTCGAATATCGTAGCGACTGAAACATGAAGCGGCCTGGTGCCGCACATTCAGTTGTCTGCAAACATCACAAACGAGAGATCAAGTTGGGTTCCAGGTGAGTCTTTCGAAAAGCCAAATTAGTTTGCAAATGAGTGTATATTCGCCAGTTCTGACCTTGGGGGTCATTGGGTAGACGTGGTCCCCAAGTTTTCGTCAAAATTATGTTCTACTTAAACTTAATGATCGAAATTAGCGAAATACACTCATTTGCCTACGAGTTTGGTTTTGACGGGAGACTAAACTGGAACCGAACTGCACCTCTCGTTTATGATGTTCTTGGCCGAGACGTATAACAAGTGAGATCAGAAGAGCG